AAAAGGCACAAAATGTTTGGTTTTATCTTTAGGGGGAAAACCCTCGTATATCAAAAATCTTTTTTCTATCATTAGGTTTACTAGAAACGAATACTACACTATTCTAAGTGCAAAACCAAAGCAAGTCTAGCTCAGGACAAATTCACATCAAGAAAAAGGGCTGTCTGCATTAGCGCGGGAGATGAAAGCCTGGGAGGAAAAATAGTAGAAAAGCCCTTTATTCTTGGTTGTGTCAATATTAAGAGGATAAAAGAAGATGAGTGAAGAGGGTCTTGGATGAAAAGAATAGAAATATTTTTTACCATGGAAGAAATAGCCTTCTGATTACTACATATAAAGCCAATTAAAGGGTAATGAGATTGATTTTTGTTTGTGGCATGTAGGATCAATCTCATGACTTTCGAGACATCTCTTCCCTGGATACCTTGAATCAGTAGCATTTTCACGTTCCACCAAGTACATTTTGCTTTAAAAGATTTATTTTTAATGAATAAAGGAAGAAAAGTGTGTGTGGGGGGCTGTGGAATAGTAAAGAACCCCTTTGAGTTTACTTAAAATCTGTGATTTAAAATGTACTGAGCTAGTGAAGAATGGTTTGGCAAATCATTATGGCTTGTAACATCTTCCAGACATGCCCAAGTCAAAATAAATGCCTAAAGCCACAAAACTGTGAAGTCTAGGTATGATTAATAAAAATTTAAAAGACACTATGAAAAAAGGGAATGTTTTTGTAGGCTTCAAAGAATGGTTTTGCAAATAGAGATGAAAAGGATGAAATGGGTAGATATTTAGGTCACGAAAAACTAGAAAAATGCACAAAATCAAGGAAGAAATAAGGTAGTGAGGGAATGCTGCAATTTAAGATTGGACATTGTCACCTTCCCTTTGTCTAACCTCTGACAATCAAGAAAAAAGCCAATTTCTGATCATGATGCTGGAAACCTCAGTTCTACAATCCACTTTCGCACTAAAAAACCAGATTTCTCAAATAGATGATTTTATGGCCAAGAAGAAGGGAAATGAAGTTGCATAAAATGGAGAACAATGGGAAATAATAGCATGTAATTTTATTTCCCTTTTTCGGAATTGCTTTTCATAATCTCATACTCACTGCAGCATTTTCAAAAAAGACAAATGTCACCAAATCATTTACAGTCACAAAGGAATTTCTGCTTATTTGGTGTATCTTTTGGGCAATTCTAGTGGAATTTGACTTTAAATTAGTCATGCAAGTAAATCTTGACATTTTGGCCTTTGGGAAAGACCAGAAAGAAACTTGGATTATTCCAGGAAAAAAATATTAGTCTGTATTTAAGTAAGAGCCTTAACAACTGCCAAAAGTCCAACTGGCTACCCTAATAACAGCATTGAGTAAACCTGATACACTATTAGTAATAGTTTGAGGATTCTAAATTCCTTACGTTAGCGATCTCTATCCTTTTTTTCCATCTTTTTGCTCTATATTTACTGATTACCCACTATTGCTGGGCTATGCTCAATGCCAGGGATATACCTATGATTAAAACTGATGAGGTCCCTGGAGCATGAATTCTTCTGGACAGAGATATACCAGCAACATTAAAATAAGCTAAGAAAGCGTATTAGAGAGTACATTAAGTACAGTAGCCCCCGCTTAGCTGTGGTTTCTTTTTCTGCATTTCAGTTACCCATAGTCAACCATGGTCTGGAAATATTAAGTGGAAAATTCTGAAAATAAATAATACATAAGCTTTAAATGACCTGTATTATAGTTTATTATTATTTATTGTTGTTAATTTCTTATTGTGCCTAATTTATAAATTAAACTTCATTATAGGTATGTATGTATGCATGCATGAATGTATAGGAATAAACCTAATATAGTATATAAGGGCTTCATACTATCTGCTGTTTTAATCAGGCACAGAGTACCTTGGAACATATTCCTTGTGAACAGGAGGGGACTACTGTTGTTTCTTGACATTTATCATTGTAAATTCATATTTATCGAACCGCGACTGCACCCCGTAATCTGCACCCATATCCTGAATGCTTCTTGCCAAGAGATTCAAAACATCTTCCAGGATGCAAAATTCTCACTTGCCCTTTCTGTCAGTTATCAACCAGTCACTTCAAAAGCATTTATCAATTACCAAATGTGTGCCCGAGTGTTTTGCCAGGAACCGGCGCAGAATACTGAATCCTAAATTTTTTTTCTACCTAAGACCTCTCTCTTGGGGGCCAAACACTTCTCTCCATCTGGCTGCTTGGCCTCTGCAGGTGGACAGCTCACAGGCCTTCAAGGCTTGATGCCTGATACAGACCCAGGCTCTTCTCATTTCCACCCTCAGCCCCTTCTCTCCCATTCTAGTGGTGTCAGTTCCACCTCCAGTCTATCTTGCATGCACCTTCTTTCTTCACCTCCATGACAGTTATATGGTTTCTGCCACTTTTCCAGCCTGGACTTGTGCAGGTCAGCAGCCCTGACCTGATCTTCTTTCACTCTTAGTACCCTCCATGCAGCCCACATTAACACACACACACACACACACACACACACACACAGAGTCACACTCTATTCATGTACCAGGAGCCTAAATCATTATTGTTAAATATACACACCCTTCCTGTAGCTTCCCATTACTCTCAGAATGAAAGTCAAACTTCTTACTATGCCTGTGAGCCATGTTGTGTCTTATGTAATAGTCCCTGTTCTGTCTGTATCATCTTTCTTAAACTACACTGCCTTTCAGCTTCACTGCCCTCTATTCCCATTCATTGAACAAACCAATGTTGCTATCACAGGGCCTTTGCACTGTCCTTTGCCTACAATTCTTGTCCTTGGATTGTGTATGTCCAGGCTGAAACTCAAATGTCACCCAATAATAGAGGCACTCCTTAAACCTCATGAAAATTAGCACCTCCCTAACACTCAGATAAGTTATATTTATTTTGCCTGCTGAGGACACAGAGCTGATGAAGGTTCACATCAAGATCCATGGCAGAAATGGGATGTGGGATTTCCAGAGGCCAGCCACCTATGGATCAAGCATCAACCAGGCCTCGCCTATTAATGAATCACATTGGTACACGTGGAAAGGATAAAAGCTTGGTTTAAAAGACAGACAAAAGGGGACGAAAAGCTACATGTGTACCGTATTCTTTTAATTACAGCAAATGGTGATGGCTGGGTGGCATGAATTGATATATGGTGGACTCTCAGGCCACTGAATGTCTGGGGAGCTTTGTTTGAATGCTAGGAAGGATTTCTTTGACAATCACCCGAATCCACCCATCTCCTCCGCTTACAGTCCACCTGCTGCAAAGGATAATTAGCACGGCTGCGAGGATTCTGAGAAACAGCCCTCCTCTCTCTCCCTTCCTCTCACTCTCTCTTTCCTCTTTTTTCTCTTCCTCCTCCCTCTCTCTGTCTCCTCCATCCTACCCTCTTTCTCCTCCCTCCATCCTTCCCTCCCACACCCACACAGAGGTAAAACCTTAAATATATATTCAGTTACATCATAATTCTGTTCTCTTTCATTATGAATACTCAAAGTGCCAATAGCCAAGTTCTTTGTTGTATTTCCAACACCTCCTACACAAAAGCTGCAGCAACACAGGCTCTCCATTTGTATTTGCTGAATACATGAATGAATAAATGAATATTTACCAATCGCTAGGGTTTCAAACATTGGTGCTCACTCTTGCCTAGTGAATTCTTGTTAATACCCTAGATAGCGGTCTTAGTTATATTCTAATTTTACAGATATTCTTTTCCTTTAGATATCTAAGCCCTCTATATCCCTACACATGGTTATACTTTTTCTGATGGAGAAATATTAAATGAAAAGTAGGAGTAGAGGAATTTTTAGTAACTTGATTCATAACTCTTACTGAAAAACCCTTATTTAGTACATTTCATTTCTATTTATATATTTATCCTATTTTTTCTTATTTGAATATTATTGAATATCTGAAGATTAACAGATAGCAGAGCTAGTGATACAAGGTGAGACTACTAAATAAATTGGAACTTGTCCTGGATTTTCTTTTATAATCATCAGCAATATTCCTGGGATGAAAATGTCTAGTCTACTCTGTATTAAACACAAGATTGCTTGATGAATTTAAGCACCTTCTGCAGAAGAAAAATTTGATGTAGAAAAATTTACTGAACTGTGGTAAGTTAGCTTTAGATAGTTACCTATGTCTTTGAAACAGGTTCAAAACCAGACTCAGAGAGTACTGAAATTCAAGGCTGAGTCTCAAGAGTGTTGGAACTGGAGCCTTTCCTCTTGAGAGCGTATACACGCGACTTTAAAAGCTCTCTGCTATTCTATATTTAATCAAAGCAACAACAAAACAAACAAGGGCTCATGGACCTTTGGTTTGAAGGATATTAGTTTGGCCATTAAGAAATCTGGTCAGGATAAAAACAGAAAAATGGAGCTTTCGTCCTGCCTTTCAAATCTTGCTGGTATTCCAGGTAGTTAGAAAAGCAGCTGGTGAAGGAAGGCTTGGGAAATGTCCATGGGCTGGTCGAGATTGCTATGAGTTGGTATATTTTTAAGCTATCCCTAAACTTAAAAGTACAGTCACTTTTCATGTAAGGATATTTTGATTTAAAATGTAAAGATTTGCTAACCATAGGGATTAAACCCAAATATTACTTATTCTTGCTGCAGAAAATATTGCGTGATTTAAAAAATACTAAATGAATAAAAACAATGGTAACAAAAATCCCAACCAGAATATATATTTTAGGGGGTTTACAAAGGATATTTAATTTCTTCTGCAGTGGTTAAAAATGTGAGACTTCTAATTCTAAATTAGTTTGTAAATACTTTTAGAATAACATCTGATTTTAAAATATAGATTATTAAGATGTTAAATTTAGTCAAACTCTAACAACTGTTAATAGAAATCAACTCCCAGGAAACCTGAAATTCCCCCAACATCAACACAGTGCTGACAAATTCATCATATTTAACAAGGTGTATTGGAAATAGCTGAGCACTGACCTCTCGAGGACAAATGATCCTCTTGGGACGAGGTGCCTCTTGCTGTAACTGATACACTGCCAAAAACAAAAAAAAAGAAAGAAAGAAAAAAGGAAAGAAAGATAATTATAATTAGAAAACTGCAACATATACCAACATTCCCACCTACGTTCATTTACCAAACTCAGAATTGCAGATATGAAATACAAAGAAGATACAGGCACGTTTTTTAGACTGAGTTAAGTCAAATCATTTACATGGAAATTACTCACCATGAACATATACTGGCAAAATTGATTTTTTTTTATTCTTCTAAGGGCAATTTAGTTTTATAATTGTTTCTGGCATTGTTCATTTTATGGCTTTCTTGGAAGACTAGATACAACTAAAATTCTTTTGACTGTTTTAGAGAGAAAATTCCACTTGTGAGTGCCTGAACAGTAAGATCATATAATGGGATTCATGAATTTAAATGCCCATGTCTTGACATAGCAGGATAGGAGTGTCATACTCTGAAACGTTACAGGTTATGTACAAAGACAGTTGATTCTGTGAACGCACGGAATAGCAAGAAAACTCCTCCACCTGCCCTCTCTCCCCCCACCTCCATTTTTGCCCCACTTATCACTGGATTCTCAACTATTTGACCCTGACAATCTATTGTCCTTTTTCTTGGACCTTTTCACATCTTAAATAATACTAACTCTCTTCTAACTTGTTTTAATCACAGACTTTTAGGCTTGGGCATGGAGGGAAGCAGGTAATTGTTTTTGTATACAATACAGTTAACTTATCAGACTATTGTTAGTGATTATCCAGACTACAAATGATTTTTTCTGATGCTCAGTTAATATGATTCTCTCTCTCCCTCTCTTTGTCTTTGTCTTTGCCTGTCTCTCCCTCTCTCCCTCTCTCTCTCTCTCTCTCACACACACACACACACACACACACACATGCAGGCACATGCACACACTTCACACACCACACACATGCACTAGGGATGGAACCCAAGACTTTGTGGATGCTTAAGTAAGTGCTCTACCACTGAGCTGCACCCCTAGGACTGATTATTTCTTACAGAGGGAGAAACTACCCTATTCTGATACCTTTGGATACTATTTCAATGAAAGCAAACCAAGAAGAGGGAACAAACATCCTGAAGAGGGAAGAATTACTTTTAGATACATCTACTAAAAGTTAAAAATCAGATCATATAAAATCTCTCTAGAAAATGTAGTAAGCTAAGCACAAATTTAATATTTATTCTTTGCCCTATAAATTAAAAAAAGAATTTTAATGGAAGAGCAGTCATATGGAAATAGATTAGAAAATATACATTATAATTGTGGCCATATTATAATTACGGCTTCCTGATGACTTCAACTCAACATGGCTGTTTTCTTCTAAATTAAGTGTAGAGTACTGAGCCTTAGCATGGAAGAGAAACTATCCAACCCTCTTGCAGATGTAATGGACCACATGTCATCACTGTAGGTGGCCCACACTACTGATGATGCATGTGTCACTTAAGGACAACTGTACCCATATATAAAAGGAAAGCAGAGTTCAACACAGCCTTCTGGCTCAGAAATATGCCAAAAATGACAAACATAAACAGATAAAGGGAGCCTCTACGCCTCTGGTTTCCTACGGATAGAAAGCCTAAAGGTCCTAATGGACCAGTGCATGGAAAGAGGGCCTGGCTGGAGGGAAGATGGGCTGCCCTGCACACCGATGACCACCAGTGGGCACAAACTGTTCAACTTGTGCCGCACACTTTCCGTGGCTTCCTGGGCACCATGTATCCTGGTTTTCCTCCTATGCTGGTGATTCTTTTCCCATGTTTGTTGCTGACTTCCCCTCTCTGTCTGCCCACTGATCATAAGAGATCCCCAAGTGTCATCACAGACCCTGCTCAGGTCTCATTCTCCCTCCTCCTCTTCCTCCTCCTCCTCCACCTCCTCCAGACTTGCCTCTACCACTAACCTTCATGCATTGTCTCCATGCAGAAGGTTTCTATCTCTGCTCAGGGCCCTCCTACAGCTCCAGATTCTTCCTTTCTCAAATACCACATGTTGAAAGTCAAACTCAGGGTCTTTCCCTCCCACTCTAGGGTTTTTTCCTGATATGCTCTAAGGAGGCAACATCCATAATTTCTCCAGCCAGCATGCTGGAGCACATCCACGACACCGTGTGTGGCCTGTTGGGCATCAGGCCTGTCAAACTGCTTTTTCTCAGGTCTGCTCACTCCTCTCCCTCAATATCACTAACGCCCTACTCCAAGCTCTAGAGTCTGACTCCTTCCACCTGTGCTCTCCCTGGTGGTGGTCAGAATGATTGCTGTAAATGTCAGTGGGATCACATCCCTCCCCTCAAAAGCTTCTGTGGCCTCTTACTGCTCTTGGATGAAGATCAAAGCCCTTAGCATGGTAGGATGTCCCAATGGTCTTGCTTCTGGCTACTTTTACAACTGCGCCATGTATCACGCTCTCTGCTCAGTCAAGTTAGCTTCATTTCCTTTCCTAAATGCACAGTGCTCCATTCACTCAGGGGCTTTGCACATGCTATTTCTTCTGAATATGGCACCCTCTCCTCCCTCTCTACCTCTAGTTGTCCACCTCTCATTATTATGACTTTAGTTCAAATATCAAGTTTTTGGAGGAGTACTTCTCTCTCACACCAGACTCAAAGACATTGCCCTATTCTGTGTTCTTATAATTCCCTGTATTTTGCTTTATGTAACATCCTATTATAATTCTGTAGTTATTGGTATGAGCTCTAAAAAAAGTCTCTCTCCACCAATGTAAACCCATAGTCTCTGTTTTTAAACAATCCTATCCATTTTAATTTTTTTTTTTTGCTTAAATTCTTTTGTTGGTACATTTTAGGTATACAATACTTTTACATTTATCATTGGGTGCTTGTACCTGTACATGATGTATCTTGGTTCTTATTTTTTCCCCATTACTTGTGCCCTTCACCCCCTCCACGCTTCCCTATCCTATTCATTTTTGAGAGAGATCAAGAAATTAGGATATTTTTATGAAATAAGGCAGTAAATACAGGAGATGCCACAACATCACTTATTGAAGGGTGTGGGTTACCAGGATCCATTGTAAGGAAATGATTCAGTGAATTATGCTAGTCTTCTAATGGCCATCATGCTCTTGCAATAAAGATTGAGAAATCTCTGTTACCACTGATAGGCAGTGACATTCAGGATATTCTGTTAAGCAAAAACACAAGGTAAAGATATATACTATAAGTTGGCTCTCAGTAGCTACGTGTTCTGTGTTCTACATCTGTGTATTCAACTAACCATTGATTAAAGGTATTTGGAAAAAATTTCATCTGTACTGAATATGCATGACTTTTTCTGGTCATTATTCCTTAAACAATACAGTACAATAACTACTTCCATAGTAGATGCATTGAATTGGGTAATCTAAGTAATCTAGAAATGATTTAAAGTACGTAGGGAGGCTATGCACATGTTATATATAAATACTGTGACAATTTATAAAAAGGACTTGAGCATCCAAAGATTTTGGCATTTGTAGAGTTCCTGGATACCAAGGGACAGGTGCATACATATATACCTTCATGCATGGACACATACGGCTAGACACACCTATACATACATACAGTGCACATACTTTAAGAAAGGGAATAAAATAATAACGTGTGTATATTCATCTTTGCTTACATCTGTCTAAATAAACTCTGGAAGGAAAAAAGAAACAATAAAAGCAATTATCTTCACGGGATTAAAGACAGGAGAGGGAGGAAGAGCCCTCAGTGTACATCTTACTCTACTGTTTGGGCCTCTGGACCACATGTTTATGTTGCTTATTCCAAACAAGGAAAAAAATGGCTGGAGGAGACAGGGTCAGAGAAGCCCACGGAAAGGAGGAAATATAAGGAGAAGTGGCCTATGAAAGGCAGAGAATTAACTGTGGTCGCTCCCCTGATTGTCACAGTACAGCTTATGCCTTTCCTAAACCATAAGGGAGGCATGCCCATAATCCCAGTGCTCTGGGGGGCTGAGGCAGGAGGACTGCAAATCTAACCCAACCTGGACAATTTAGCAAGACCTTGTCTAAAAAATAAATAAATAAAAAGTCTAGGGATTTATGTGTGTGTGTTTGATAGTAAAGTATTTTTTTTTTAAAGTCTGGGAATGAAGCTTAGAGTGAGGCTCTAGGTTCAATCCTCAGTACCAAAAATAAAACAAAAAGGGAGGCTGAATGGAGGCCCTTGGTCCTCTTGAATCAGCCCTAACACTACTAAACTCTTCATAGGATAACAGGAACCAAAGATCTCCTAGAACCACAGAGTTCTTGATCCCTGCAGTTGTAGTATCCACATTCAGAGACTTTTATCCACTTTCCCGGTCCCATCCTTGGTGCCTCTGAAGCCAACAGTGACACTAGGGATGGGGATGGGATGGCTATGTGAACACCATTTTTAGTGGAGGAGGCTAAGGAAGAGCACCTGTTAAAAGAGAGCAGCATTTTAAGCTAAATGCTCCTTCACAAATATGTGAGCATCTGCTGCACACCAGGTACCACCGGCAGCCTTGTGCGGAGGCTCTGAGGATGCACAGAGAGGCAGGTAGAGGGAAAGGAGCAGCAAGCTGAGTGCTGCCAGGGTCAATGACACTCCATTGAGTCTTCACAGAAACCCTCCGAACAGCTTTTCATCGTTATCATTCCGGGTGCTTAGATGAGAAAACATGTACAGAGAAATTAAACATTTGCCCCAGGAATTCAGCTAAAATGTAAGCTCTGGATTTCAAAACCCTGATGTATCATTCCTACGCCCCTGGTCCTTTGCACTTGCTGTACCCTCCACCTGAGTGGCTCTTTCCTAACATATCCATGGCTAACTCACTGCTTTCATTCAGGTCTTAAATTTCCACTCATCAAGGAATCCTTCCCTGTCTTGCCTGTGTACAATTGCTCCCTTATACCACATTAATCACCATGAACATTGAACATTGTTAACTAATAAAACATAAATATTTATTTATTTTGTACACTACCTCCCTTGACTACAGTGTGAGCTTGATGAAGAC